AATACCGTCCCGGATGGCATGGTAAATATCTTGTTAAACACACTGAATAAGGTGTACTCAATGCCAAATTAAGTTTCAATTTTTTGGTTTCCGAATGCCGGTGAAATAAACAAAAAAATTTTTTTTCGAAAATACAAATGTTAGGAGAAACGAACAATTCGCCAACTGGTTATCCACTTGAGAACCATACACATTTCCATTTCGTTATGAAAATAATTTCGCAAAGGTATTTCTTTCAAATTATGAACAAGATACCACTGTATTGATTTCCCAAACGCAAACCGTCGAACTCCGTTATATCGAACTCGGTAGGACAATGGGAACCAATTATTCGGTTCAAGTGAGCTCGAATATTTTGAGTAAGGTTAGGCAGGGATCTACGAAATGATTGGAGTTCGAGATAACGAGGTTTGACAGTATATAAGTGTCCGGTTCAAGGGACATCCAAGTATGAAGTGAATCTTCAACTTATCCTTCATGGCACATTTTACACAATCTGCCCATTCTTTCTTTTTTTCTGTTTGTGCCACAATATATTTTTTAACTAAAGTTAGTGATGAAACTTTGGACCGAGAAATGTATTTTTTTTTAATTGATAATTTAAGTTAAAATGATAATATATGATATGTTTTATGCAGTTCCAAATATTCTCCTGAAGTATTAATTTGCTATATATTCTAACAACTTCAACATTTGCCTAGTTTTGCCAGATAAATTTGTGAAAATAAATGATAAAATGTTTATATCATACAATTTCTGAATCCAAAACTTCTTAATCTTTTGTTTTCTGTTGGTGTATAATTTCTCAAAGTCACGACAAACCAAAGTGTGTTAAAAAATACCCAGGATCTTTTCATACACCCTTCTCACACCTGGAGCCCCGTGGGAGCTTCATACTTCCGATAGCGGAAAATACAGGGGTTACACATCAAAAACAATGCATTGAGTTTAAATATATCACGTTTGTAACTTTTAGAATTGTTTTTAAAACATTATGCTATTCTACCTTGATCTGAAGCATGCTTCTGTTCTTGTAAAACAATGATGATTGAAAAAGTATTCCTTGTGTACTGTTCTAAAGCATATACATGGCTACTATTCCTAATACAGTTTACTTGTGGTTGTGCCATTACCAAGCATGGCTAAGTTTGTTATGTTTACAATGCTTCAAAGTTTCCGTGTACTGCAGCCTGTGCCCTGATCAATTGACAAACTTTGACTCCATCTTGTTATAAATAATTATATTACCTATCTAATCTTACTATTCTTTCACACTATAATTTAAATTATGGTAATGCTTGCCTGACATTTCTGTTAGATAATTATTCAACTGAATCTGTATTCTAAATTCTTTTCCTGGAATGCTATCATTATTATTTAATATCTTAAATTTTGATTGATATGTCTGTTTACTTGTTTAATTTGTATGGAGCGGGCTTTCATAGGCTCTGCCTGTTTCCCAATTCCATTTGTCACCAACATCAAGACAATAAAATATTCTGAAATAAGAAATACTGAAGGAAATGTTAGTGTGAGTTAAGCATAGAATGTAAGCCTTCAGGGTTTACAAGTAATTACACGGTATCATCAGTGCATATCATAAACATTGAATATATATTTATCTATATAAACAAGTAATTCGACAGGAAATGCATTAAAAAAAATCGTTACCAACGAAAACAATTAACGGAGGCCATCTTTCCCATTGTTTTTTGTTCTCTATACTGATGTCGATATCATTTTCATATTTCTTCAGAACGTCTTTGTTTCTCTTTATTTGAAAAAGGGCGTTTAAAAACAACGGTAACTCTGATGAAAATTTCTATAAATTCAGTTTGTTAACAGTCCTTATATAAGAGAAGTCCCCGTGGGGTCATCCATGGGACATGGCACCGCCGCTTCCCTGGCTAAATTCCACAGCATTTTGGCTAATGGCGGGGTTCACAACGGTAAAAGGTTGTTGTCAGAAGAGGCAATTAAACGGCAGCAGGTACCCAGGACCACTGGGAAAGACCTAGTGTATGGTATAGAGACACTCTTTAGCCTTGGGACCATGGTATTTGCTGCAGTGGACGATGATCAGCCGGTACGTACGCCCGTTTTATGCAGAAACTTATCAAACTATTGAACGGCTTAAAGGAAATCCCCATGATCACTTGAAAATTTGATTCGACAAAGCCGTTTAAAATTCAAACACCTACAAGACGTTTAAAATGTGAATCATTTTATTTTCTTTATCTTTATATTTAAGTTATCAAAAATATCGTTAAATTCCAAAAATTAAGTTTACACCAAAAAGAATGCACAAAAAACCCATTAGTTTCATTCAATACCATTTTCTTCCGTTTCTAGCCTCAGATGTCCTTTGGACATGCAGGATTTGGAGGTCAGATGGCCATTGCAGACCCTACCCATAAAATTGGTTTTGCATTCGGATCAAATCACGTAAATCCAGACATGGACGAGGAGAAACGTTGGAAAGATCTTTATGACGCACTGTACGAGTGTGTGTATAAGATAAAAAACATATCTGCCAAACGGAGAATTTTAGAAAACTCCGACCAACTAAAGGCTGCACAGGACAAGCAGAATTCATAGATTACTTTTTTTTATAGAAATTATATTCAACTTCAATCAAATGAATTATTTTCATTGTTTTTCAACTTCACAGAGACTCAGTGAAATGAAAAGAATTCTATTATCTATCTCATCATTATTGAAACTTATCTGAGGTCCTGTCTTTGCTGTATTTTCAATGTTATAATATTATGGATTTATACGTGTGAATAATGTTGTGCAACATATTGTTTCAAATTCATGTATGCAGTAAAATATTTTAAGTTAGATAATTTTGTTATGTTGTGATTGTTCTTGTTTGATGACGTCTGATGTTTGATGACACATTGATCGACAGCACTGTGAAGTGCAATCAACTTCCGGTTGTAATGGCCTATGGAAGATGAGGGGTAGTTTCGTACAGAAATTTTCCGAAATTGGTCTTCGTTGATTTTTGTTATATTTCAATATTTAATCACTTTAAGCTACAAAATTCAAATGGGGATAATATGCTTGTCTTGTGCATCTACTGGGGGTTTAAATAACAGACTGTTTTAACATGAGACCTGGAAGAATAAACGGTGTTTTTAACGTCACGAAACTGATTCATAGAATTGATGAAATAAGGTCAGATGAATCCAAAAATTTAAGTGGAAATATGCAGTATTGAATGTGGTTGGGATACAAAATACAAGAACAAATGTAAGTTTTTATTAAACATGTCGTGATATGGTGTTTGGTACTAGAAAACTTTGGTGGACTTTGAAACAAACTAACTAGAAGATCATTGAGAGTAGTTGACCTGTAGTGAAGTAATTTGGACAAGGACACAGGTATAACGTTAACAATTAAATAATAAACGTTTATGTAAAGAAAAGTCGACTGTATGATAAATAAGATGGGTTCTCAATAATGCAGAATACCGAACATGCAATCAGTGAGGAGGGATAAAACTAAGTACACAATGCTGATCAGTCTGTGTCAAACAATAGACAGACTGGTATAGTTTTTACACATGAATTCATATAATTTTTGTCCTTCGTTGCTATACACCGTCGACATATCGATTGCTGAAAAACACAAATTCAACATTTTCGTCTGAATACTGTTCGTGTTTGGATTTCAAACGCTAAGTCACTACGCAAGCAGTAACATCATTAAAACGTTTTGATAATATCACTCTTTTAGCACAAACTTATGAAAACGCATTTTAATGAAAATCACAATTTTACACCCAAACCTATTTTTTCTGGTAGATGTAGTGATATTGGGATAAAGAAAGACAGAAAATGCTGACCAAATTAATGTAAAATGGAATAGCGAGATTAAAGAGGAAATTTCAATCATTAAGCTAATTATACAAGTCAGTGTTTTTGTCCCTGATAATTATATTGCAGTTAGTGATTGAGAAAAGCCACTGGTTTAGAAGAGTCTGGGGTGACGTCAGTTTCCTAACAGAGCAGTATAGTATAAGAAAAAGAGAATTAGACACAAAAATGCATATTAGTTTAAAAATGACATTAAGGAAATCAGTGTCATATCTTATTTTTGTTTCATATGTGAAAAATCTTATCATGACATCATCCTTCATAATGGTGTTTCTTGTGCTTTTGCCAGGTTGATCTTAAGTTTGTGGTTAGACTAGTGATAGCGTTTTTTTGTTTTTGTTTTTTTCCTATTCTTTTTTGAGAACGTGACATTACTTACTTGGATTTACCAAGATTTACATGCCGGGTGTCTTCGATGATGAAGCAGAAGTTCCCGAAAACCTGGTCGGGTGGCGCAGTCGTAACGCACCCACCTTTCACCTAGCCGTCCGGGGTTCGATTCCCAGAATGGATGTGAAAATGTATAGGGTCACCTGCCCGACCACGTGGGTTTTCGCCGGGTTCTCCGGTTTCCTCCCACACTGAGACCCCTCTAACGCTTCCATCCGCGCCAACAGGAGTGATTTATATAAGTTGGAAAAACTTGCTTCGCAATTGTTGTAAAATGAATAAAGGTTATTATTATCATATTTTTTTTCATATTTGCACTAGTTTCCAATTCCAATTTAAATTTAAATTTAAATTCTGATTACATGTCGGTATTTCCACATGTTTTTTTAACATCCGCCAAGGAAATACAACACACATCATCCCAATGGTGATATCGCCTGTCGAAAATTAGTATTGTATTCTTGAGTACCCGCCATTGAGACTACAGACCGGTAACAAGACACTTTAGAATTCATGTATAAATTTTGAATAGGTAAACCGAGAAATGATAATTCATTTTCCCCACCTTTGTTTTAAGTAAATAAAAGCTTTATGCGCCATCAGGTTAGAGTACATGTCTGCACTACGAATAATTGTGATAACATGTACATAGTCCAAAGCGGTGTGGACAGGGAAGATTGTGTATGACAAGAGAGCGGAGTTCACACAATCAACCGATCATTCACGATGGCTGACGGGACAGAGGCCAAAGAAACACCCTACGTTGACGGATTTGTCAAGGACGGGTTTGAGAAAGTCAGAGATGTGTTCAGGTAATAAAAAACCGAGGTTTTATGACGAATGTGTGGATGTAACCCTGATTAAGGTTACCCACAAGCAAATAATTTGTTTGGGCGGGTATATGTGGTTAATTTATTTTTACTGTTAAACATTAATGTATCTGTCATATTCTGACTTAACTTGTTCGGTAGACAATATTAATATAAAAAATCAGTGGGGATTTTCCCAAAAATTGCTCAGATAATTCGTTCATGATTTATATGAGTTTTGATGAAATTTGTAACGTTGTTTTCATATTAGGCAACCTCCCGAGCATCACTATTCCTATAAAATGACAACAATTGAGGAAATATGTCTTTTAAACTGATAAGCTGTGTATACTGCCTTCCCTATAACCCGTGTTCGCATACCATTTTAAAAATTATGCATAAATGATAAGTACCTATCATATAGATAGTTAAAAGATTATTCATATATTACAAATGTTGAATTAAAATACAGCATACAGTTGTTTCAATGCTTCGTCAGTGATGCTAGAGACCAGAGAATGCTACGAGAAAGACTTCTAAAAAGTTGCACCAGAAAGATATCTAACTTACTTCTGGAACAATTAAATTTGTGACGTCGTTCTATATATTGACCTCTTCCTCCGATCCCCGCTTCTGTCTAGATCTTACCAACTGTGGCATTTGTGCGTATGTGAACAATTATATGACACCACATGAAGAGTAAACATAGTAAACAACCCATTATAAATTTGGTAGAGTCATAACAATTCAGTTAATCCCATATACAAACATTGTCAATCCTAGTATCACAAAGGAGGGCACTATAAACGTAACCTGACTATTCTAGTATCACAGAGGAGGGCACTATAACCGTAACCTGACAATTCTTGTATCACAGAGGAGGGCACTATAAACGTAACCTGACTATTCTAGTATCACAGAGGAGGGCACTATAAACGTAACCTGACTATTCTAGTATCACAGAGGAGGGCACTATAAACGTAACCTGACATTTCTAGTTTCACAGAGGAGGTCACTATAAACGTAACCTGACAATTCTAGTATCACAGAGGAGGGCACTATAAACGTAACCTGACAGTTCTAGTATCACAGAGGAGGGCACTATAAACGTAACCTGACTATTCTAGTATCACAGAGGAGGGCACTATACACGTAACCTGACAATTCTAGTATCACAGAGGAGGGCACTATAAACGTAACCTGACTATTCTAGTATCACAGAGGAGGGCACTATAAACGTAACCTGACTATTCTAGTATCACAGAGGAGGGCACTATAAACGTAACCTGACTATTCTAGTATCACAGAGGAGGGCACTATAAACGTAAACCTGACAATTCTAGTATCACAGAGGAGGGCACTATAAACGTAACCTGACTATTCTAGTATCACAGAGGAGGGCACTATAAACGTAACCTGACAATTCTAGTATCACAGAGGAGGGCACTATAAACGTAATCTGACAATTCTAGTATCACAGAGGAGGGCACTATAAACGTAACCTGACAGTTCTAGTATCACAGAGGAGGGCACTATAAACGTAACCTGACAATTCTAGTATCACAGAGGAGGGCACTATAAACGTAACCTGACAATTCTAGTATCACAGAGGAGGGCACTATAAACGTAACCTGACAATTCTAGTATCACAGAGGAGGGCACTATAAACGTAACCTGACAGTTCTAGTTTCACAGAGGAGGGCACTATAAACGTAACCTGACAATTCTAGTATCACAGAGGAGGGCACTATAACCGTAGCCTAACTGTTCTAGTATCACAAAGGAGGGCACTATAAACGTAACCTGACAATTCTAGTATCACAGAGGAGGGCACTATAAACGTAACCTGACAGTTCTAGTTTCACAGAGGAGGACACTATAAACGTAACCTGACAATTCTTGTATCACAGAGGAGGGCACTTTAACCGTAACCTGACAATTCGAGTATCACAGAGGAGGGCACTATAACCGTAACCTGACAGTTCTAGTTTCACAGAGGAGGACACTATAAGCTAACCTGACAATTCCTGTATCACAGAGGAGGGCACTTTAACCGTAACCTGACAATTCTAGCATCACAGAGGGGGGCACTATCATCGTAGCCTAACTGTTCTAGTATCACAGAGGAGGGCACTATTACCGTAACCTAACAATTCTAGCATTACAGAGGAGGGCACTATAACCGTAACCTGACAGTTCTAGTTTCACAGAGGAGGGCACTATAAGCTAACCTGACAATTCTAGTATCACAGAGGAGGGCACTTTAACCGTAACCTGACAGTTCTAGTCTCACAGAGGAGGGCACTATAAGCTAAGCTGACAATTCTAGTATCACAGAGGAGGGCACTATTACCGTAACATAACAATTCTAGTATCACAGAGGAGGGCACTATAACCGTAACCTGACAGTTCTAGTTTCACAGAGGAGGGCACTATAAGCTAACCTGACAATTCTTGTATCACAGAGGAGGGCACTTTAACCGTAACCTGACAATTCTAGTATCACAGAGGAGGGCACTATAAACGTAACCTGACTATTCTAGTATCACAGAGGAGGGCACTATAACCGTAACCTAGCAATTCTAGTATCACAGAGGAGGGCACTATAACAGTTACATAACAATTCTTGTACTACACAGGAGTGCGCTGAAACTTTAGTGTTCTGACCGCAAAATTGTTGCCTTGTCAAGAACTTACGCACTGAACAAACAACTAGCCATGATGAATAAACCTTTTGTTTGTTGTTTTTTTTTAAATTTTAATCACGGCTACAATAAGACTGTATCGCATGGACTCTGATTTACCCTTGTGAACGAACTAATCGCCAGTTGTAGACATCATGTCCAACTCGGTCTTAGTCGCAATGAGGAATCGATGCCTGACGGAACCTTACGTTTCTATATTCCAATTTTCCAACCTCCGTTGGTGAGAAATACTAAGCCATCCGTATTTTTTTTTCTTTTCAAATCACATCTGATCTGATTAAAGATGATCAAGTACACAGACACCTGCAGACATCATCTGTTACCTTCATATTGGTATCGATATCTGTGTCCAGAATGATAATATTGATTAGGCGACAGTTGAAAAGTGATTAAAGTGACAGTTCACGTCCTTTCAACATCCATGGTCATTTGAATGGACTAAGAGGGTGGGAAACACTATAATTCAATACTGAAAACAGGACTCGACAATATTTCTGAGAAACGATCTCTATATAGACTTTGCAGAATCTGCAAACTTAATCTGCTTAAGATATGGTTTTTTTTATTGAGATGAAGTAACAGAAACTAATACGAAATTAAATTACAACTCCAAATCTTCCTGTGGTTTTGTTGTACCTCTGTGTGTTAATAGTAACTGTGAAGTGTATTTCTAACGACAGAATTGCAAAAATAGTAAATTTGTGTTAAGGGCACTGGGTTAAAAGTGCGGAGTGAATTATCGCTTGCAAGATATTAAATTATACCCGAAGTCATACATTTTTGTTTTTTCTTCAGGGCCAATTTGGAGAATGGTTCTGATGAAGGGAGTTCCGTAGCGGTTTACTATGAAGGAGAGTTGGTCGTGAACCTATGGGGAGGCTGGGTGGAGAAGGAGGCTGGAATGAAATGGCGAGAGGACACCATGCCGTGTTTCTACTCCTCAACAAAAAGTCCTTCAGCCCTTGTGATAGCTCACCTTGTCGACAGGTAGGTATATAGACATCTAGAGTTACGATATAAGCAATAAGATTTCACTGGATCACCTGTGTCATATGTCACGTGTTTCCATCGCGAGCGCAATACTATTTTCTGGTGACAAGCCGTGTCACTTGCATTCAAGGTAATATCGTTAATATGTCCGAGGCCATTTGGAGTACAGTCAAACAATTAAGAGTTAGCAGGATATGTCACTGACACAACAATTCACAAGATAATTAGACCGGAAATAATAATTAAGTGTCAATATTCACATTTATTTCACAGATATCGATATCTATTATAATTATGTTTATTTCATAAAAATGTAAATATCAGTAACACCATAATAAATGTGAGTATCGGAATTAAATTATCATTTTAGAGACAGATATTTTCGGTCTGCATGAAGCTACTCGAGATGTCACAGCCAAAGAGTTACAGAAATTTTCAAACGTCTTCAATTATTTTTGAAATATTTTTACCGAAACCTTGAAATGGCACCATTCACAGAAGATGTCTCCAAAATGACGACGGGTTCAAACACTTTATTGTATTGATATTTGGGGACACAATCTCCAGAAATTCAGATATTTTATAACCTCACCTGTTATGTTGTAGAGGTCTCCTCGACTACAATGAAAAAATAGCAAAGTACTGGCCCGAGTTTGCACAGAACGGCAAAGAGAACATTACTCTTGAAACGTACATCTCTAACAAGGTAGGTTACCATAACTAACGTACAAAGACAACAAAGACGTCGAAATATTAGATGTTGATTACCAGGTTTAATGCGCTTTAATTATATCGTATTACTGATAATGCAAACTGCACAAATCTAATCTCAAAAAATCACTATTTCCTGGACATATGAATTCGGTTGTAAATATAGTTCTAAAAATGTTATTTTGATAACTCGTGGATTAACGAAATCGAAGAAAATAAGTCGTACACGAAAATTATGAATTTAGCAGTAAGTAACCCAGTGATAATTGTATGTGAAATTTGGAGACAATGCAAAAATCATTTCTATGCCTGAAATAACTCACAAAGGCATTTGAAAAGAAGCCTGGTCATCAAAATACAACTTTGATGTCATCTTTCAAGACGTCATATATTTGTTTGCATTAAGGCTGGACTTAGTGGGAACGAAGAACCATTACCATTAAGACTCATGTTAGATGACCCTAAAAAATTTGGAGACATTTTAGCAAAACAAAGGCCACTGTGGGAACCAGGTATGTTCGTCACTCATACAAACTTTTATGTATTTATGTAGGAAAAATTAGTACTTGTATAAATTAAGAAATAACTAAAACAGATAAATAAAAATAGATAAATGAAATTAATAAATAGATAAATAAAGAGAAAGAGGGGAAGGGAGAGGGAAAGAGAGACAGAGACAGTGACAGACAGACAGAGAGAGAGAGAGAGAGGGAGAGAGAGGCAGGAGGAGTAGAGAGAGAGAGGGGAGAGAGAGAGGGAGGGAGGGAGAGAGAGAGGGGGAGGGAGGGAGGAAGAGAGTGAGGGAGAGAGGGGGAGGGAGGGAGGAAGGGAGGGAGTGAGGGAAAGAGAGAGGGGGAGAGAGAGAAGGAGAGAGGGGAGGGAGGGAGGAAGGGAGATGTTTGCTGATATTTTGTGAGTGTAATTGATCGTCAATGTAACGTTGTTGTGATTGTATTTTCAACAGGAACTAAACATGGCTACCATCCTTTAACATTTGCCTTGTACCTGGACCAAATTGCCAAACCGTTCGGTGAGGGTTGAGTTGTTAGAAATGAAGTATTTTGATAAATATATCTTCTATAATAAACAAGTTCGGTTTATCAAGATTATACGTCAGACACAGAAAAGAGAAACATATTTCGATACAAATTAACAAGATAAATATGAGCCAAAAAATTAATTAAACTCGAACGCATGTAACTCGAAGATCCCGTTTATTTCGAAGTATTTCGCCGATCCCGGTCAAATTTCACACCAAACATTCGAACCCATTTAAATCGAATACTTGGATAACTCGAGGTTTTACTTCGGTCCCGCCGACTTCGAGATAACGAGGTTCGACTGTAGTTAGACTTGGCGATTTTGTTTCTATTTTTCGTTGATTCCATTAATTATAAATAAAATACAGAATATTTTCATACAAATAATTTTTATTACAAAATTCGTCACTTTCCATCAGTTGATCGTAGAACACTAGATATTGTATTATGCGTGCTTTCTAATATTTGAAAGTTTGGAGTAATTATGTATCAGATTAATATCAATGCTCACTGAATACACATTTTTTTAATACATATATTCCGGTAAGTAGTTGTTTGATACGTGTGTTTCGCTCTCAGTTTACAGAAACATCGTTGTTCGTTATTCTCTGAGGCTATTTAGATCCAGAATTACACGTGAATCTTTAATAATCAAATTTATCCGTCATTTTGGAATTAAGTTTGTGTGGTTTATCGCCAAGGGTCATTTCGGGGAGACATCTCCTTGTAGAAGCTGCTGATTGCCTCACTGAACAAGATACGGGAGGCCCGTCGCATGTTATGTACAGCAATTTAGATTGGAAATAATTTTGTATTAGAAATCATGTCGACTCTACATTTGAATTTTATGACAACTGTCACCATGTTTTGCAGATATTGAGTTCTATATAGGCCTACCAAAGGAGCTTTACTACAGAGCCCCGCGTACTTCCATGATGGCAATTTTCAATGTCGAGGAGATCATGAAGCAAATACAGGGCGAACCAGAAATAATGAATATCGTCAATGCAACCTTCACTGATATGCAAGTAAGCACTATTAAAGGGGTTTATATCGGAACTAGTGAAAATTTGCGCACCCTTGTTTGAAGATTTGGTGAAACTTTGATCATTTGAACGATTGACGACAGAACGTTCACAAATTTTCACGTCAGTATACACCATGGATTTTTATTACAATCATAATCAGTCAATTATTGATGAAACAAGCATTTTCATTGGCCTTTTCATGTTATAATCCATTGGCCTAAACGAAAGTAATCGACGTCATTTTGTAACGTCTCATTTGATTGGCCAATGCGATGGTGTAACAAATTATCAAAAAAATAGTCGTTAATTAATGACATAAATATGACGAGCTATGATTAAATTATACGGATTAATTTTTATTTATTTATTTTGGTGTTATTGGTTAAGTGAGAAACATACTACTGAGTTCGTGACGTCTCTTCTGTCCCTAACTAGTTTCTCCAGGCTTGTTGAGCGTGCCCCAGAGTACCACCGGCCAGAGAACCTGGATTCATCTTCGGTTGTCGCCAGTAGTCTGCTCATCGCTCTCGCCGTCATTGATATTTAAGGGCTATCCATGTATGTGATAGTGAGTGGCCCCACCTTTCTATGGTGTGGGGGTCGATAGCTTCCAGCTCTTCTCCTCACGTCATAGCCACAACCAGTTAGATACACGCTCTGCAGCTTGGCTCAGTCTTTGGATCGTCCTGCACCTTTCCCTGCCAGTGGTCTCAATTGCTGCAATGAGTCGGTACACAAACTGGGAACAGAATCCCGACGTCTACTTTGATGGGGAACTGCCATGTACGCTAGCCTCTTCTCCTGCATTCATTGAGGAGCTCTGTACTTGGCATTCTTCCTCTAGTAGGCCTCTGCACATCTTTTTTCCTTGGGTATTGTTAGCTAGATCATGATGAGCTTCTTTCCTGTTCCAGACCACAGCACGATGTCCGGTCTGAGGTTTGTCTGGACAATGCCAGGAAACACAAGCTTCTTTCCTAAGTCCACCTCCATGTTCCAACCTGTGGTGACATCTAGGATAGATCACTTCTGTTTTGGCTGTGACTTTGCGGTTTCACCCGGCTTCACAAAGTTGATGTGATGCTGTTGGGGGTTACTCCTTTGCTCCTTCTTCCTTTCTACTTCAAGCCAGTCAGCCACTTCTCTGAGCACTTTGTCATGACACCATCTGTATCGTCCTTTTGTCAGTGCTGTGGAAAGGAAGACAGAACATGTTCTAGAGTTCCAGGGCGGTTACAGAGCTTGCATGATGGGTCTGTTGTCAGCCCCTAAAGGCAGAGGTTAGCTGGGGATGGTAGGAGATCGTGGACAGCCTCAACAGTTCATACTTCCAGTTGTCCTCCCAGGTCAGCTTTCTGTTAATGGTATCTCTTGTGGTCCACGCTCTTGTGCTCCCATCTCCACTGCTCTAGCCTTCCTTCTGTTCTGTTCTTCTGTTCTCTTCTGTTCTCCTGACTTCTGACTGTATCATGGCTCGTCTCTCATCCTGGGCTGCCCGGCTCCACAAAAGTGTCTTGGTTTCACCAATCCCTTGCCCTCTGACAGCGATCATTCTCACAATGTCCTTGTGCTTGAATGTACTCTCCGCCTGGCTAACAGTCTCTGTCGCTGACCACTTCCTTCCTGTATGGGTAACAATCCCTGCTTCACGGATTTGCTCATCTGGGGAATCTCTCAGGGTGAGGACCAGTCTCGTCTTGACTGTTGTAACCATTCAGTTTGACAGAGAATACACAATATCTGGAAATAGTTGTAACCATTCAAAGTTTGACTAAGTAGAATTTATGTCATAATTATACATCTAGTGCTATGTAGTGTAATCCTTCTTCTGAGCTTGGCCGGAGCATGGTGCTGTATAACTAACATTGATTTCGTGTATAATTATCGGATTAGTGTCTTCTTGCACTCACAAGCAGATTTTGAAATATTGCACATATTGACTGGAGGAAGTGTAACCTATTATCTACTTGACAAGCAGAAACAATTATAAATTTACATATTGATTTTTTATGTATACTCTTTGTACACGCCTCCATTTACACGTAAATGTTGTGTAACTAACATAACCTTATATGTGACCGTTGTAAATGTATGGTATATTTTTTATGTATATGTGTTCAAAATCCTTTTGTACATATTATTTTCGAGAGAATAAGGCGGATAAAAATAGATGGCGAAGCAACTTATATCTTGATAATACTTCAGTTGTTGTTAATCGTTCCCGATCACCTAAACAATATAGAAAGTTCCACTGCTAAAATACATTAAACTGCATTTCCGCTTATTTTTCTCTCTATATTCGGCTCAATTCCTCGTTGCTTGATATAGTTGATATATCTAAGGTAGGTGATGGTGGACTGACCTGAGGAGGAAGGACAGCCTCAACAGTTCGTGTTCAGATGTCCTCACAGGTGAGCTTTTCTGTTAATGGTATCCCATGTGGCCCATGTTCCTTGTGCCCCCAGTCTCCACCGCTCTAGCCTGCCTTCTGTTCTCTTCTGTTCTCCTGACTTCTGACTGTATCATGACTACTCGTCCTGGGCAAAAATGGGTTCTCTACTTACTACAATGCAAAGTGTATCACTTAAAATCAGGCCTACATCACGTACATGGATACATCTTCTCTGTGTTGTTCCGGTTTACATTACAAGTCTCGACGCCGTCTGTCATCGACGGGAACTCTGCCGGTAACAGTTCCAGTGGCAAATGGGGAGCCGTTTCGACATAACTAAAGGCGTTGTCATGGAGTTAAGAGCAAGTGTCCCGGAACAGGTGGAAAGTTTCCAGCGCTATGTACTGGCGAGAAAGGCTTTGGATTCAAATGGTCGCCG